TAAAAACTTTTTGAGTAATTGCAAAACAAATTGAAAATTTTCAATTTTTTATAAATCAAGAGCAAAAAATCTTATAAACGAACAAATCCAAAGTAAACCCGGTTCCCAAATTACATGCGAGAACTTCCCGTAAGGTTTTTAAATCTAGGTCAAATACTTTTTTTGGTTAAATTTTAAAAAATTTCAAATTTTTACTTGTCAAGGGGAAATAAAAATCCCCACGAAAAACCCCAAAGGCCCAACAAAAATGCGCAACATTCATTTTTAAAAAAAATTTGGAAAAAAAGTATCCCTCGGAAACATTATCACAACAAAATTACAAGAGAATTGCAGATCGGTTTGATTGGCTTTTAAAGAGGGATTGAAAAATGTGACAACCCCTCCCCCCCCCTGCACCGGCTTGAGCGGGATCTTTCCCCTTAATAGTTGGCATCAATATCCCAAGGGGCCAGAAAAATATAACAACACTGAAGTGAAGTACGGGGCAATTTTTTACAGCTGCCACACAGCACTTGACTGCTGTTGTGAAGTATAAAAATCTGGAAACAAAGTGATCCCTCGGAAGCATTAATCACAACAAAATTACAAGTTTCATGACTCTAAGTCAAATCAGTTTTGAGTTACATGCGACACAAGTTGAAAATTGCAAATTTTTACTAAGTCAAGGGCAATAACTCTTGCACATGCTGATCAACATTCCTGTAAAGTTTCATGACTCTAGGTGAAATACTTTTTAAGTTACGTGGGACACAAAAGAGAACGGAAGGACGGATGGACGTCGGGACGGACAAGGGTAAATCTTAATTCTCTCTCACCCCCCCCCCCCCAAAGTGGGGACACAACAAAGGTAATTGATATTTTGAAAGGGATCACAGTTTATGATGTATGCATGTCACAGACAAACTGTCAGAGACCAAATATAAAAAGGGAGGCCATGTTTATTGACAATTTCCACCTTTGATTGGTGATAAAAAGCCATTTCTTTTACTGTATTGTATAGGTTATTTTTCGTTTAATGTTACACAGTTACATCCTTCATCAATATAATAACTTCAAACTAAAAAATAGTTGCCTGAAGGAGCATACATTGGCCAAGAGGTTGAGTTTATAGACTTCAATTCACTTGCCTCAGAACATTCTTGGTTTTGGTTCTTTCATGTGAGCAAGCTGTCACACTAGCTTACAGAAGATTGGTGGTTCTACATGCACATTGTAAAATGCACCTTAGGGCTTCCTCCACCAGTAGAAATGGAAAGTCAATATATAACATTCACAGTGTCAGATTGTAACTTAAAAGTAAGAATACAAACAAATAAACATTATTGCAGATGATAGATAAAAATCCGGATAAAATGAGATCGCTTGGAAGCATTAATCACAACAAAATAACATGAAAAATTGCAGAATAATCAGACTTGGTTTCATTGAGTCTGTACATAGGGGATAATCAGTGATTTTCCCTGTAGTTTACAGTCACATAAATGCTGTTTTCCCTAGCCCAAAGTAGTTACATGTACATTTGTCCCTAAAAATGCTAATATTCCCCCCCCCTGTGCACTTTCTCACCAGAATCATTACTTAACAGCACCTGCCTTATATGAGCTAGTTGATAAATTTAATTGACTAAAAGTCAAGCTATCTGTCCCTATTGATAGACTCCGCTTTGTACCATGCATGTTAAATTGAATTGAAATTAAAAATTCAGAAAGCCACAGGTTGATTCGAAAATTGAAAAAAAAATCAGAGATAATGAAAAAGTGCAACATCCCTCATGCCCTTGAGCAGTATTCATTTTACAATACGTAAAAGAGCTAGAATCATTTATCCTGAAGGACAAGGAAAACCATTACACATTTCAAATCGGTTTATGGGCATACATTTTGAAATATCAATTTTTCCTGCAAGTAAGAGTAACTTTCAAGTTTTGTTTTATAAGCACATTTATCATAGTTAATGTTATTGAAAAATTATTTTCTATGTACTTTAGGAAACAGTAGATACTGCACAAAAATCTGTGTCAAGAAGTTATGCAGCTCAAGTACTACATAGTCATCTTGAAAGGCGACCAGAGGGATTTCGACAGCTCGTACTAGCGCTCCGGCATGAAAATGTTGGCTGCACAGAACTAGCAGACCGTTTAGATCCTCAACATTGCTACGATCCATCTTATGAAGGTATATATAACTATTGGTAATTATTTTCAACCACATTATGTGGTGGGCGCTGTACTAGAATCACTGTCATGGCGCTTGGTTTGTCAGCCTGTAGTTTGGTCAGTTAATCTGTCCATCTCTATGGCGTTTGATCTATAAATCCTATACTCCTGGAAGGATTTTGTTTTTCAAACTGGGCTCCAATGTTCACCTCTACAAGGCAATGTGAAAATCCATGCTGCCACTGTGCAAGGTCAAGGTCACCCTTTTAGGACATAATTCGAAAAAAATTTGTCTGCAGTAGATCTACAGATTCTTATTCTTTTCAACTGACTTTCTTTCATAAATTATGATTAATTGCGCTAGATCTATTTACATATTTTCTGACAAGAACGAAAGGTCATGACTTTGTCAAGTTATATAACTGTGTTTGCAATTTTTCTCGAATGAGTTTATGGGTAAACCTTTCTGGCAAATTGCCTTAATTGACAAGAATCAGGGTAGGGGTATATGAGTTTATCAATCACTGTTTTTGTTGATTTTTATTTCTGACAACGGCAACTTTAGATAACTATAGATGTCATGTTTTACCATTAACTCCCTTGATTGGTTTGTCTTACTGAAATGTAATGTTCGGCATGGTATGATTTACTTTTTGCATTCCAAATCAAACTTTGGCCGTACAATTTAGGTAAACACCATCAGACAATGGTATATTGTGTATTTGTTGTATGTTCTCAAAAGCAAGTGAGCCAAATGCTACGAATATAAGCAGTCATGTCAATGGAATCATTACTGGCGAAAGTGTTTTCAGGCTCTGATATAACTAGATATTGAGAGACAATGATTTTACACTGTGGCCTTGACCTTTTACTTTATGACCTTTAGATAATGCATATCTTATGAAATAAAAACCAGAGAGCTTTGATATAAAAAGTAGCAACGCCTGTTGATGTCTACAAAAGTCAAGTCGCATGAGTAAAAAATGTCACATGCTTGGGGGTGACTTTTGTTATAAATGTTATTTTACTGACCCAAACACCCCCCCCCCTCAAAAAAAAAAAAAAAATAAAGCCGAATTTCTTTTCTTCTAAAACTAAAAGACCTAAAAGCTATGATTTTTTTAGCTCACCTGTCACATAGTGACACGGTGAGCTTTTGTGATCGCTTTTAGTCCGGCGTCCAGCCGTCCGGCTTCCTTTAACTTTTACTTTATAAACGACATCTCCTTCACAGGAATGCTTTTGTTTATAGTTTACAATATAACTTGCGTCTTGTAACGGAGAGTTTTTATATACAGGTGGGCAATTTCATGGCCGTCTTGTTTTCAATTTATTATGTAATAATATAGCGCTTTACTTTTATAAAAAAAGAATGCATCAGTATGTTCAATTATTTCCACTGTGACAGCATTATTGTCCTTAATGGATAAACACATCTAGTTGTAAAAGTTTATGTGGCATGGGCGTCCATGACCGAGTGGTTAAAGTTGTTGGCTTCAAGTTATTTGCCTTTCACCGCTGTAGGTTCTAGCCGCGCAAGTGTCTTCGGATTCTTTCATATGAGAGAGCTACCCAGTTAGTTTACGTAACGTCAGTTGTTCTACTCAATTTCGTTTGTGCCTAACAGAATGCCCACGTTAAATCCAATCAAAAACGTTTTTGTGGCATTTTACATCTGTATTTTATGACGAACTGGCACAATTTAAACTAAACTTAGGATTTTTTTCCGTATGCAGCTTCTGAGGCGAGGCCACCAATTATCTCTCGTTCGTGCGTGCGAATGATTGTTTCAATTTTTATAACCAACTATAAGCATATTACAGGCGGTGTATCGTGATTAGCCTGCGTTTAATTTTTCACTTAAACGAAATTGAGTGATGAGTTTAGGATAGATTTTAGAAGAAAAAACTTACCTCATTTTTCTTTTTCAAGATCCACATTTTCGTGGTTGATCTTTAATTTATTAAAACTCCTGGAATCCTAACATTTTAACCAATTACAATAAAGTTTTGACCAGTTGATGATTTTCTAGCCTGATTATACGTTTGATCAATTTTTGTATCCTTGCATCCTTGATAGCATGTATATTAAATTAAAGACAAATGGCAATTAAAAGTGTTATGTTTAAGATGACACTGCATTTTATCTAAAGGAAGGAATCACACAACTTTTATCATATCTTGATAATTTTATAATGCTATACAAGTCCGCTGGCCTTTAACGTTTTGTTGAATAATAAAGTAACTACTGACGTTCTAGACAATAGTCCAGTTAATGAAAGGAGAAATGTCATGAGGAAAAATAGACTATATCAAGGTGATATGAAACTTTAAAACATAATTTCGTCAATACACGTTTCAGTATTGCATTTGTAGTTTTAACACATTGATTTAATCTTAAATATCTAACGAGTATTCATTTAAATACTTTCTTTCATTTTGTCATTTCTTATGATTAGTAAAATGTGAGTACATTTGGCAAACATAATTCGCATCATTTGATGGAGACAAGTATAGATTAATTAATTTTGGAATAAACAAATATATTACATAAAAACCTAATTATAATGAATATATAAAACCCGAACTTCCAATTAATGCATATTTTACTCACACTATTCAGATCAAATGGTCTTCGAAGGGACAGGGACAAATATTCTCGAAAGTCCGACTTCATATGATGAGCAAAGACCTTTAAATTTTAGACAAATTAAACAAAGTGTTAAAAAAGGTAATAAAGTATGTTTTCTTTCCATAAGACTTAAGTGTTTAACACATTGATTTATTTTCACTCCATATGTTTTCTTCCCTATTATATATTTGATATGAAAAGTAGCATAGAAATCATGAAACACATTGAGGGTAATTGTTCATAAGTATACAAGATTCGTTTTCCTTTTTTTTTGGCAATTGTTAACCACAGACAGGTAAATTTTTTCATTCAACCAATCCCAGGAAATAGCACACAGATTGTATCAAATGTAAGATATCTTTAAAGAAATATTCTAGAGAATGTATATATATTACAGACGTTTGACTTTAGTCAATTACAATATTATGGTATTAAATATTTCAATAATCAAACTTTTTTGAAGGTATTGTTTAGCATCTTTCTTTAACACCTGTATTTTTTCAGACATGTCTGGAATCAAAATGATGCAATATAAAATGTTGTAACTTCACTAATATGAGTAAGGAATTGAATGAGATAATCAAACTATATATAATATTGTGGTATTACAGATAGAGAATCACTTTGCAAGCATAGTAAGGCTCAGGGGCAAACATCACTTGAAACAGTACGCAAAGGTAATGTAAAGAAACAATATTTTATTGGTTTCTTGTGAAATTATTTAATGAATTCACTTAATCCCGGATAATTATACATGTTTGTTACCTTTTCTATATCTAATTAGCTTACCAGCTGTATAGAGAGGCCCAGAAGCACATACGTATTTGATTTTCAAATTCATCATGCGTCATTGTCGCACGCAAGTCGATATCCATTAGTTTTCTTCTTTTTCTCTTATCTTTTGAAATACTTAACTCATGTTGTGATCATCCTTTGTTTATCGGCCATACATATATTTCATCCTAAACCGGCTATCGAAATTCTGAATTGGAGTATGGTTATTAGGTAACGAACGCATGGAATAGATGTCTTTTCAAAAAAAAGAGTTATCCGTGATATATTTGTGAGACTGTTTAGTTATAATTGTTATTTGTTCATCTGACCACGAAGTTGTCAAGGTGAGGTATAGTTATGGGGTTATTCCCGGCGTCCGTCGTCGTGAGTCGTTCGTCGTCAACAATTTGGTTGTTAACAGTCTAGCAGTCACAGTTTTGATTGGATCATCATCAAACCTTGTCATAATGTTTGTCTCAATAAAATACAGATCGAGTTTGAAGATGGGTTATCTCGGGTCAAACACTAGGCCACAGGAGCTAAAAATAGAAAAAGCTTGTTATCACTCTAGCGGCTGCAGTTTTGGTCCTAATATTCTGAAAATTTGTCAGAAAAGTTGTTTTAATGATGTCTAGGTCAAGTTCGAAGATTGGTCATCTCCAGTCAAAAACTAAGTCACAGGAGCTAAAAATAGAAAAAGCTTGTTAACACTCTAGTGGCTGCAGTTTTGATCCAAATATTCTTTAAGTTTGTCAGGAAGGTTGTTTTGATGATTTCTAGATCAAGATCGAAGATGGGTTAACTCCGGTCAAAAACTAAGTCACAGGAGCTAAAGATAGAAAAAGCTTGTTAACACGCTAGTGCCTGCAGTTTTGATCCAAATATTCTGAAATATTGTCAGAAAGGTTTTTTTTATGAAAACTTCTAGGTCAAGTTCGAAGATGGGTCATCTCTGATTTAAAACTAGGTCGCAGGAGCTCTTGTTTACACTCTAGTTGCTGCAGTTTTGATCCAAATATTCTTGAAAAAATTGCTTTGATAACTTCTAGGTCAAGTTCAAAGATGGGTCATCTCCGGTCAAAAAGTAGGTCACAGGAGCTAAAAAAGAACACTCTAGTGGCTGATGTTTTGATAAGTCAGATAGGTTGTTTGGATGATTTCTAGGTTAAAGTCGAATATAGGTCATCTCGGTCAAAAACTAGGTCACAGGAGCTAAAAAATGAAAAAGCTTGGCTGCAGTTTTGATTCAAATATTCTGGAAAAGTGTGAAGAAGGTTGTTTTGATGATTGGTAGGTCAAGTTCGAAGATGGGTCATCTCCGGCCAAAGACTAGGTCAAAGGAGCTAAAAATAGAAAAAGCTTGTTAACACTTTAGTGGCTGTAGTTTGATCCAAATTTCCTGGAAATCGGTCAGGAAGGTTCATTTGATGACTTCTAGGTCAAGTTAAAAAAATGGGTCGTCTCCGGTCAAAAGCTAGGTCACACTGCCCAAATATGGAAAAACCTAATTAACACACTTGAGGTCACATTTTTTACTCAATTGTCATCAAACTTTGCAAGGATGCTTGACTTAGACATTGCTTGGATGCGGTTGATAGGCCAGGGGAGCGATCTAGGGATATTATGGCCCTCTAGTTATATTGTTGCTGCCGTGATATATATATATATATATATATATATCCCCAGATATTGTGTTAGTAATTCTAAGTAATAACTAGTACTTGGCTTGGGGATATAAGTTCAACGAATTTGCTTGTTCTGATATGACCTTGACCATCAGGGCCAAATTATTGAGGTTTACTCTAATTGTCATAACTTTGTTGTTTATAGAGGTGGCTCTTGTTTAATTGGTTGTATTATAGCTTTATACTTTAAAGATATTATTTTTAAATTTCAGACCGAACAATGGAGAAAAAACACAGAGAGATTTTTTTAAGCAATTTACCAGACTTTGTGGAACAAGTGGACCCACAGCAGCTGCTTACATATTTGCCATGTTTGTCCAAAAGTAGTAGGGTATATATAATGGGAATAATTTACATGTTTACACCAGTTTAAGATATGACCCAACTAATGCATTACCTCCACTTTGAAGAGTATTAAAAAAGGCTAGAACTACTGTCAACTGCATTGAGGATGCAACTGTTTTTTTTCATCCTTTTCTTTTCTTTGAACATTATTTATGCGTTTCTAAGATCCCTCTTAGAAAGAAAAAAATGTTTCATTTTAATTATGTAATTGATATCGGTATTTATTGGCTGAATTATGCCAAATTTATTACAAATATGGTACCTGAAATTTTCAAAAACCAATAAAATAAAAACTTGATGGTAAAAGTGTTTTATATTTGACAAGATTTTAAAAAAATTAAATATCTTTTAGGTAAAAATATAAAAATTTAAAGATATTTTGAATAAGGCCCTCCAAGTAGGAAAATGTTCAAACAACCATTTAAAATGGGCAGGGTAGGGTAACATTTTTATACATATTTCAAACATTTTGAGTAGAAACAATAATTTTGCTTGTGTCATTTGTTAGCTGAATGCTATTATTTGTTTCTAAACATTTTTCAATAGAAAAACAGTTTTCCGCATGATTATATAATAGATTATTTATGGAAAAGAGCCCTTTTAATAGCCAAATTTTAGTTAAAGAAAATTTCCATTACTCGTTAACCATACAGTAAACTTTGTTTAAATTTTGTTTGCAGGTGTCCTTTAAGGTCTATAACTGACCTACCTATGTTGTCAATTCTATAGTTCCTTAAAGGGCCCACTAGGGTCTCATACCTCAACTTGTTTTAAAGATGAAGTTCAGTTTCTCTCTGAAATAGTTATAATTATATGAATAATGGTATCCACAAAATACATAGCATAATTATAATTATATATATACTACTTATCACACACGACTTCTGAGAAAGTGGTGAGGCATGTGACAATTAGACTCGATGTCCGAGATCAATTGCCACCCAGAAAGCCTTACAAGACAATCCAACCAGCAATCACTGGGTTACTAACGTAATGGTCTCCTTATTGCCTATGATTACATTTTTATTACACTCTAAAGTATGCATTATATAATGACCAGTGTGTTAGTTTGTCACACCATATTTTATTATATATATATTATATAATAATAATAATAATGATAATAATAATAATAATATATCTAACTCAAGCACTCAAAGAACAAATGAAACGGTTTTTAATAAGTCAGGGGCAATAACTCTACAAATACTGGATAAATCCACAAGCTAAACCCAAGGTGCACAACTATACATGCTGATCAACATTCCTGTAAAGTTTCATGACTAGGTCAAATCCTTTTTGAGTTACATGCGACACAAGTTGAAAATTGCAAATTTTTACTAAGTCAAGGGCAAAAGCTCTAAAAATACTAAATAAATCCACACGAAAACACCCAGGTGCACAATTGTACATGCTGATCAACATTCCTGTAAAGTTTCATGACTCTAGGTCAAATACTTTTTGAGTTACGGGGGACACAAAATAGAACGGAAGGACGGACGAACTAATGGACGTATGGGCGGACAAGGGTAAATCTAAATTCTCCCCCCCCCCAAAGTGGGGGCACAACAAAATAAATTGATAATGTATTGATAATTTGAAAGGGGATCACAGTTTATGATGTCTGCATATCACAGACAAACTGTCAGAGTCCAAATATAAGAAGGGAAGCCATGTTTATGAGTTTACAGACTTCAATTCACTTGCCCCAGACCACTTTTGGTTTGGGTTCTTTCATGTGAGCAAGCTGTCACACAAGCTTACAGAAGATTGGTGATTCTACATGCACATTGTAAAATGCACCTTAGGGCTTCCTCCACCAGTAGAAATGAAAAGTCAAAATATAAGTTTCACAGTGTCAGAGTGTAACTTAAAACTAAAGAAAACATTAATGCAGATGATAGATAAAATCCGGATAAAAGTGCGATCCCTTGGAAGCATTTATCACAACAAAATAACATGAAAAATTGCAGACCAATCAGACTTGGTTTCATTGAGTCTGTACATAGGGGATAATCAGTTATTTGTCCCTGTAGTTTACAGTTAAATAAATGCTGTTTCCCCTAGCCCAAAATAGGTACATGTACATATTCCCCTAAAAATGCTAATATTTCCTCCCTGTGCACTTTCTCATCAGAACCATGACTTTATAGCACCTTACTTATATCAGCTAGTTGATAAATTTAATTGACTAAAAGACAAGTTATCTGTCCCTATAGATAGACTCTGATTTGTACTATGCATGTTAAATTGAATTGAAATTAAAAATTCAAAAAGCCACAGGTTGATTCGAAAATTGAAATAAAAATCACTGATAATGAAAAAGTGCAACATCCCTCATGCCCTTTAGCACCGACTTGAGCAGTACTCAATTTACAAGACTTAAAATAGATAGAATCAATTATCCTGAAGGACAAGAAAAAATATTAAACAATTTCCAATCAGTTTATTGGCATGTATTTTGAAAGATTAATTTTTCCTGCAAATTTACAGTCAGAGTAACTTTCAAGTTTATCATAGTTAATATTATTCAAAAATGATTTTTTATGTATTTTAGGAAAGAGTAGATACTGCACAAAAATCTGTGTCAAGAAGTTATGCGGCTCAAGTACTACATAGTCATCTTGAAAGGCGACCAGAGGGATTTCGACAGCTCGTACTAGCGCTCCGGCATGAAAATGTTGGCTGCACAGAACTAGCAGACCGTTTAGATCCTCAACATTGCTACGATCCATCTTATGAAGGTATATATAACTATTGGTAATTATTTTCAACCACATTATGTGGTGGGCGCTGTACTAGAATCACTGTCATGGCGCTTGGTTGGTCAGTCTGTAGTTTGGTCAGTCAGTCTGTCCATCTCTACGGTGTTTGATCTATAAATCCTATACTCCTGGAAGGATTTTGTTTTTTAAACTGGGCTCCAATGTTCACATCTACAAGGCAATGTGAAACCCATGCTGTCACTGTGCAAGGTCAAGGTCACCCTTGAAGGTCAAAATTCGAACAACTTTTGTCTGCAGTAGATCTATAAATTTTATTCTTTTCAAATGACTTTTTTTCAATCTTAAATGTTTTCTTTCATGAATTATGATAAATTGCGCTAGATCTACATATCATATTAATATATCATATGTCATAGAGTTCAGCTGGGGATATTCATCACTCCAGTGGTAGCTTTAGTTTGATCATGTATCAAATATAAATACAATTCATACGATTTACATTGCAATCGCCTGATATTCTGCCATTACCAAACTTAAAAACCAAAACAAAGAATTCTGACAAGAACGAAAGGTCATGACTTTGTCAAGTTATATAACTGTGTTAACAATTTTTCTCGACTGAGTTTATGGGTAAACCTTTCTGGCAAATTGCCTAAATTGACAAAAATTAGGGTAGGGGTATTAGAGTTTATTAATCACTGTTTTTGTTGATTTTTATTGCTGACAACGGCAACTTTAGATAACTATAGATGTCATTTTTACCATCTATTCCCTTGATCGGTTTGTCTTACTGAAATGTTATGTTCGGCATGGTATGGTTTACTTTTTGCATTCCAAAACAAACTGTGGCCGTACAATTTAGGTAAGCACAATCAATCATTATGGTACACTGTTTGTGTATTTGTTGTATGTTCTCAAAAGCAAGTGAGCCAAATGCTTCGAATATAAGCAGTCATTCCTATGGAATCCTTACTGGCAAAAGTGTTTTCAGGCTCTGATTTAACTAGATATTGAGAGACAATGATTTTACACTGTGGCCTTGACCTTTTACTTTATAACCTTTAAATAAAATGGGATCATCTACTGGCTTTGATTATCCTCCCTGCCAAGTATGGTGATGGCACACCTAATACATAATAGTTATAAAGTTTTTTAGCATACATCAATATGGCTAACAGATGAATAGACAGGCACGGATGGATAAGTGCCATTACATGATATGAAAACAGTCACCTTTGCGTGTGTAAAAAGAGAACTTTCAACAATACACAAACATAGTTCATCTGTTGTGTATTCATAACTCATTGTTTTCATTTAACAACAATTTTCCTGTAAAAACACAAGTAAATACGTCCAATGGCTTAGTGGTTAAGGTTATTGACTTCAAACCACTTGCCTTTCGCCGCTGTGGGTTTGAATTCGGCCAAGGACTTTGAATTCTTCCATGTGAGTAAGCTTACCAGCTAGCTTACAAATCATTGGTGGTTCTTAACTCAATCAATGTATATCTTCTGAAATAAAAACCAGAGAGCTTTGATATAAAAAGTAGCAACGCCTGTTGATGTCTACAAAAGTCAAGTCGCTTGAGTAAAAATGTCACATGTCTGGGGTGACTTTTGTTATAAATGTTTTTTTTACTGACCCCAACCACCTTTCACCCTCCCCCCCCCAAAAAAAAAAAACCCAACAAAGTCCAGGTTATTTTTTTCTAAAACTAAAAAGACCTAAAAGCTATTAAGCTTTTGTGATCGCTTTTAGTCCGGCGTCCAGCCGTCCGGCTTCCTTTAACTTTTACTTTATAAACGACATCTCCTCATAAACATCTAAGCCAATTTCATCAAAACTTTACAGGAGTGCTTTTGTTTATAGTTTACAATATAACTTGTTTCTTGTCACGGAGAGTTTTTATATACAGGTGAGCATTTTCAGGGCCATCATAGCCCTCTTGTTTTTCTATTAATTTTGTAATAATATAGCGCTTTACTTTCATAAAAATAAATGCATAAGTATGTTCAATTATTTCAAATGTGACAGCATTAATGTCCTAAATGGATACACACATCTATTTGAAATAGTTTGTGTGGCATGGGCGTCCATGGCCGAGTGGTTAAAGTCGTTGGCTTCAAGTTACTTGCCTTTCACCGCTGTAGGTTCTAGCCGCGCAAGTGTCTTCGGATTCTTTCATATGAGAGAGCTATCCAGTTAGTTTACGGAACGTCAGTTGTTCTACTCAATTCCGTAATGCACAGAATGCCCACCTCAGGTCTTCCTGCACAACTAAAACTTGATAGTCGTCAACTGACTTCTGCTGTGTTGGTGCGACGTAAACTCCAATCAAAAACGTTTTTGTGGCATCTAACATGACAAACTGGCACAATTTCAACTAAACTTAGCACTTTTTTCCGTTTGCAGCTTCTGAGGCGAGGCCACCAATTATCTCTCGTTCGTGCGTGCGAATGATTAAGAACAGTTTCAATATTTATAACCAACTATAGGCATATTACATGCGGTGTATCGTGATTAGCCTTTGTCCGCCGTGCGTTTAATTTTTCACCACTTAAACGAAATTGAATGGTGAGTTTAGTATAGTTTTTAGAAGAAAAACTTACCTCATTTTTCTTTATCAAGATCCACATTTTCGTGGTTGATATTCAATTTATTAAAACTCATGGAATCCTTACGTTTTAATCAATTACAATAAAGTTTTGACCAGTTGATGATTTTCTGGCCTGATTTCACGTTTCACCAATTTGTGTATCCTTGCATCCTTGATAGCATGTATATTAAATTGAAGACAAATAACAATTAAAATTAAAAGTGTTATGTTTAAGATGACACTGCATTTTATCTAAAGGAAGGAATCACACAACTTTTATCATATCTTGATAATTTTATAATGCTATACAAGTCCGCTGGCCTTTAACGTTTTGTTGAATAATAAAGTAACTACTGACGTTCTAGACAATAGTCCAGTTAATGAAAGGAGAAATGTCAGGAGGAAAAATAGACTATATCAAGGTGATATGAAACTTTAAAACATAATTTCGTCAATACACGTTTCAGTATTGCATTTGTAGTTTTAACACATTGATTTAATCTTAAATATCTAACGAGTATTCATTTAAATACTTTCTTTCATTTTGTCATTTCTTATGATTAGTAAAAGGGAGTCATTTGGCAAACCCTAATTCGCATCATTTGATGGGGCAAGTATAATTAATTATTTTTTAATAAACAAAATTTACATAAAAAACCCAATTTTAAAAAAATGAATAAAAAAAATAAAAAAAACCCCAACTTTCCCAAATTTAAAGCATATTTTATTTTACACTTTCAGATCAAAATGGCCTTTGAAGGGGGCAAGGAAAAAATTTCCCGTCTTCAATGATGAGCAAAGACCTTTAAATTTTAAACAATTTAAACAAAGTGTTAAAAAAGGTTATAAAGTATATTTTCTTTCCATAAGTGTTTAACACATTGATTTATTTTCACTTCATATGTTTTCTTCCATAATTCTATATTTGATATAAAAAGTAGGAGTATTGCATAGAAATCATGAAACACATTGAGGGTAATTGTTCATAAGTATACAAGATTTGTTTTTCCTTTTCTTTTGGCAATTGTTAACCACAGACAGGTAAATTTTTTCATTCAACCAATCCCAGGAAATAGCACACAGATTCTATCAAATGTGAGATATCTTTAAAGAAATGTTCTAGAGAATCTGTATATTACAGACTTTTGACTCTAGTCAATTACAATAATATTAAATATTTTAATAATCAAACTTTTTGAAGGAATTGTTTAGCATCTTTCTTTAATACCTGTATTTTTTTAGACATGTCTCGAACCAAAAATGATGCAAAATAAAATGTTGTATCTTCACAAATATGAATAAGGAATTGAATGAGATAATCAAACTATATATAATATTGTGGTATTACAGAAAGAGAATCACTTTGCAAGCATAGTAAGGCTCAGGGGCAAACATCACTTGAAACAGTACGCAGAGGTAATGTAAAGAAACAATATGTTATTGGTTACTTATACAAATTTTGAATGAATTCAGATTAAGTATGTTAATTATGTAAAATCTTTTCTATATGTAGTTATGCAGCTGTATGATCAAATTCGTCATGTGTCATTGGCGTACGATAGGCTATTCCATATCTCCATATCTCGTTATATACGTAATATGATTTTTATCGACCATACACATACTTTATCCTCAGCTACCTATTATAATTGTTGATGGTGATATGGTGTCGTACTTTGTATATATTTATGTAAGGGTGGGTGAATGTACGTATGCATGCGTGTGTGTGCGTCCGTATGTGATCGCACGCACGCCTAGTTTATAAGTTAATCAAAATCCTGGATGTGAAGTGGTTGATACTTTGTGTCAAGCCAGCTTAATTGTTACAAATTTGACTAAATATCTACCTAGTCAATAACTTATAAATCGTTCTGTCGCATTATGCCAAGGTGAGTGGTGTGTTAGTATCTTTTAAATTTTGGATTACGATTGTATTTAGTTTTGAAATGTATATGACACAAATTTTAAGATAGATTCAGTTTCCTAGCTTCAGATTTTAACGAAGTTTTTGATATTTACGAAATGATGTTCATTATTTGAGAAAAGAATGACATAAATGCCAAAAAGGCAGATAACCCTAAAATTATAACAAAATTTGCAAAGTAGGCTTTTTTATCTTAGATTTTTTTCCATGGTTAACCTGTTTAGCTCTATTTTCTAAAGAGAAAAAGTTATTCACTTCAAACTTTGTTCAATTTCAAAATATGACATCCTTTCGGAAGGGTAGATTATCCTAAAATTCATTTTACAAAGTTATGCCCCTTTTAACTTATCTGTCTTTTTTCTTAATTCAATTTTTCAAAGACTGTCAAAACCTTGAATACCATACAATTTTGAAATTGAAATACATTTATAAAGGGCAGATAGCCATGTAATTAGTTTGCACAGTTTTGCCCCCGTTTTCACTTTTCATTTTTTTTATTTACATTTTTCTTAAGGTACATTTCTCAAAAAATGTCCAAGATATAAATATTTCAGAACTTCTCACTATCAAATTTGAAATGCATTTCTTATGCACAGATATACCAAAACGCATCATACGTTTTATTTCTGTCATGGATTTTAAGTTAAAGTTTATTTATAATATCATTTTATCAAATATTCACATTTCTATTTTGTTGCATTTTAATATCTTGTTTGAAAATAATTATTTGTTGTGTTGTTCATAATTTTGTACTCATACTGCATATTTTCCACCAAAAGAATCTATTCTATTATTCATTAATTTTATAATTATGGTGTTTTTCAGAATGCATTTTTCTCTTATAAAATATTCCGTACATAAACGTATAGAGTTGCCTAGGTAATACCTCATATTTATCAAACTTACCTCCTTACACTATAATTGTAAACGTTTTATATTTGGGTCAATAATGAATAAGAGAAAATTAGCAACAAACATTCGAGTCGTATACATTCAAGTTTGCGAACAAAGCACGCTTGAAACAAAATATGGTTGTGTTTGGAACATGCGAATTACAAGGACTGCAGTATTGTCTTAAATATAGTTCGTCTTACCGAGAGGCCACCCCTTTACCAGATTTTCATAAATGAGCTCCATCACATAGTTTATTATTCAATTTTTTGCCAAATCGAACATAAGGAAGTTGAAACTACAGCCAGACCAGTGTTTCATATACATTGGATTAATCCATAGAAAAACTCAATTTATTCCAGAATAACAAAACAACCCCATTATCTAAACATAATTCGTAAGAGGGTTTTACATTTCTATGACACTGTCGTCATTTGGTCAAATTTGCAACTGTTTTGTGCGTCTAAACCAAATTGCAATCACTTCATGTTCTGCGTCCTGTAAAATATCTGGGGAAAATGTTACCATTAGGCGATTATCACTGAAAGTGCATGTAAATTCAAGTCCCTTAAATTATGTTTTTGGATCAAAACTTTATAAGCGGTTTCATGCGCGTTTGTTAGGTCCATAAATTCTACAACTTTGTCTGGTCTTTAAGAGTTTTAAACTAATTTTTTACCCTGACACAACATATCACTTTAACATTTAGAAGCCTAAGGTATGTGTTTTTACCGTCACTTTATCTCCTGTCTTTTATTATATAAATATGATTTTAAAAGTCATTGTCAAAATATTGTGACATAAATAGCTATTATTTCAAAGTAGTCAAAATGACAAGTAATTCATTGAAAATGATTTGTGTTCTGTTATGTATATATGCTGGAATATGTATATAGTTCTTTTCTGTATCGTCTGAACACTTTAAATATTTAAAGTTAATGTCTAAATTTAAGATGGACGCAGTGTGACTTGTTCAAGGCATGGCAAAGTGACATCTAGTGTTTTGAAAGAGTCATCTCAAAAACCAGCAAAACCAAGTAAGTTACGCTATAATTTTAACTTTTTCCTTGATCTATATGTTTTTGATTTACACGCTGCTGCTTTTTTGTAAAATAATGAATTAAGTGTGATTTGTTGTTGATTTTACAACTGCTAAATGTAAAGTAGTTGAAGCGCTTTTTCACAGTGTTTACCGTAGATGTCCGAATAGCTTTGCTGAAACATCGTTTAAGAAATGTAAAGAGATAAAGTTATGTCAAAACAAATTTGAAACTGTGTAATACAAACTGCAAATGGAATTTGATAATTTCATGCAAAATGGTATTTGAAAAATGAAAATGTTAAAATCTACTGCAATAAACTATTAAAATAATAAGAATATAGAACAATTGTTGCCATGAGGAACAGTCAAAACTTAAAAGTTAAAAAGGCAAACCCTTTAAACTAAAAAGGGTAATAATTAAAAAAGATAATTTAATCACACTGCAAAGGAATCGTTTGAGATATATTAAACACCGAAGCAACTATGATCTCTTATTTCATTTGAACAATTTTACGTCGAGTATGTGTTTTGGGATTTAGGGAAAATACCGAAAAGCATCTGTGTAGGAAAGAAATCCTACTTTCCTTTATTTTCCTTATTTAAAAGTGAATACCGAGATAATTTTGTGCATTTTATTTTGTCGAGATTTTCAAGGGCGAATCACAGTCAGCTTTTTTGATAAAATTTTAGAACTAATTTGCATTTTATTAAAAAAAATTGCAGTAAAACACTCAATCATATTTCTTAATTAGTGCACACTTAACGCAATATAAAGCATGAACGGATTATAAAAAACACAAAAGAATTTAGGTTAGTAAATGTATCACTCATGGAAAAGTGTTTGTAGTGTTAGCCGTATAAGGGCTGGCTACTATCACTCGGTTAAACATACGCATAGATGATCGGTAGAATAATTAAAATTTAAATTTTAAGTCTCTACTTTATAACCTTGTATGAAGAACCAAAAGAAAATGAAACCACATTCAATTTATGAACCAGATATTATGTATAAACACTTCATTTGTGAAGTGTATATCATTCTTTAATCAGATGAATTGTAATAATCTAGCACAAAATTATGGGTTACACAAGACAAATACATGTACTACTTTCTTTTAGCCAAAATGTGCTTCAGTTTCCACAAAAAAAAAACGAAAAATATTTTTCAGCAATATAAATTTCTGTATGGAAAAAACAACAAAGTTACAACCACGCTGTCCGTTTTTGCTATACACTGTGTATTTGAAATTGATCGTATGAGTCATTTTCTTGTTTAGTTAAGGTAATATAGTAACTAAAGTTGAGTACAACGTGCTTTTTACCACATAACTATGTTGTTTTTTTTTCTTTTCATTTGGGGTGGGGGGGGGAGCGAACGAACATATTATTCTCGATGTTATTATATGGCTTTTGAGGTAATTTGTGTACTGGTGTAACTTGCTGATGGAAACCTTGAACAAAGCAGATCTTAACTGAACATGTATTTAGATTGATTTCAGTATAAAAATGATCTTATTGGGATGGATTTTTGCCTGTCGGCTATCTTTGACATCTTTAGATATGCTCTCTGGAATTAGACAATTTAACGTGTAGTAACTATTACTAGCCTCCTCAAGAGAATCATTACTAAATTTGTGTCAGTTATTCTCTTGTGGTCGAAATTGGCCTCGTCCCAGTTGTTTTATAGAGATTTTAATTCGTTTAGAATTTTTGTTGGGTTTAACGGCTTGCACCTTTACAGAAAAGGTCATATGACGACTCTCCAGTTTAACTGGTGGAGGAAGACTCTCCGTGCATTATAACAGGTATGATCGGACACCTGAGTAGAACCACCGACGTTCCGTAAGCTATATGGATAGCTTCCTCACATGAAAGACTATAAAGTCCCTGACGGGATTTAAAACTTTAGTGTTAACTTTAACTACCCTGATGAATAAGATGAGGTTTGGATTTGTTTAAATTGCAATCATGTTAACGTATTATTAAACAATGAGAATAGAAATTGATGAAATTTTTGAAAACAAATAAACGTATCAGTATGATATTTAATTACTGAATAAAGTAAAGCAAAGTGGAAATGATGAATCATATCAAAACAATGTGCAGTCAATACGAAAAACAATCTTTTCTTTACAGATACAACCAACATAGATGCAGTATCACTTGATACCAACCGACGGAAATTAAGGTACGGTAGAAGTAATAGTGATACTACAGAAGCAGCAAAACATCTGGTCAGTATTCCATCATTTGTAAAGTCACGCTCTGAGGCAGCTCTTGCTAAATATTTTGATGATAAATGCACTTTGAATACTCTACACGAAGAACGTTCAATTTCAAGCCGACCTAATGATCGGGAGCGTGATATACCACTTACAGAAGCATGAAATATTGATTATATACACAATAAATAACAAACGAGCATATATAGTGCATGTTGCCAGATGTTTGAGCTTAGCTTTAAAAGCAGAGTGAAATATGAAAATGATTTTCACTTATATGCTTATCTGTGTACAACAAAATAACAGAAATTGAAATTTCATAACTGAGCCTTATTGCAATACAAGCAAATTGGAAGAATATCAGTTTAACCCCCGAGTCTGAGATGGCTTCAAACTTGTTTTGACTTTGCATCTCTCAATTTTAGACCCCTACCGATTGTTTTACATCATTTCATCCGTCCATTATTCATAGCCGCTTTGTTGATAATACATTGTATGCGGTAACCGGTCACTCAGTGAGATGAATATGATTGCCGATAAATACTTGCATGTTGATAGAAGTCCATGTGTAGATTATGAGCGTCACTTGTATTTTCTATCCATTGGTTTGCCTCACAAAAGATTTCCATGGATAAAATGTTCAAAGGCTAGTACGTTGCATCTTTTAAAAAGGCCCGTGAATATATAGAGGATATTTGTTTGTTTGTGTGTAAGATGAAATTTTATTTCATCGAGTGAGCTTTAAAAACAGTATTCTCACGAGTGGCGTAGCCACGAGTGAGAATACTGTTTTTAAAGTTCACGAGATGAAATAAAATTACATCTTACACAACAAACAGACAAATTTTCTTTTTATTTTATGCTTAAAAACAAGTTAAAACGAAATTTCCATAATTTTAACGTTAATATTAAAATCTGTTTCCCCCATTGAGAGCCCCATTTAGACGGAATTTCTCATTTAAAACAAGAAGTCTTGAGCTGAAAAATAAGTCCGCCAATCAAGGTTAAATGACGGTGATATTTATTCATTTTATTAAAAAAATATGAATGATCGCCTGTTTTAATCATAAAAACAAACAATTCTTGCAGGAGAAAATTCCAACCATCCATCCATATTTCTGTTACTTACTGCGAATTTATATTAGACCTGGCTTTCTAAAATGTAAACGGCAGCCATTTTTTAAAGTTGTGTATTTCATGGGAGGAAAATAATTGTGTAAGATTCAGAAGGATATAATTTGGATTTGTTAGTCATACACCTTTTTAAAAGAAAGAAAACTTATTTGAGGATTGTAACAGACAAAAAACAAGTGTTGACAGAAGTGAAAACATTCAGTAAAGGAGCTAGGAAAATGGAAAAAATGGAAGCTTGCTGAAAGAACGCTGGGTTGTTTTAACTTATTTTACGAGTGATGGCTGTCAATGCTTTTCAATTTTTCATAAAGCATACGGCAGTTATTGCTCGTAGGATACTTTAATATGCCCAAATGTCATCAAGAGCCCGTTTTGCATGGGGAAGGAATGTATTTTTCAGACTGAAAAAACGAAACAAAAAAAATTTAGAGACAAAATTTGGTGATTGGAATTTGAAGGAATAGAAGTAAGTTTTCTCTCTGTGTTACTTTTGACATTTAAGTTATTTATCTATTTCAGCTTTGCTATTTCTTTTAACAGCCTGACATTGTCAGAATTGTCGGTAAAAATAAAATTGAGGTACCACATGGGGAAAATCTTAAAAAAGTAGTTTCGTCATTGAAAAAAGTGAAATTATATTTTTATAATTTTCACTGTGAAATTATCAAATATAATTTTCACGGATAAATCAGTAATCCACTGAAAAGCATAAAATAAATGATTGTTGTTACACTTTTTCATGAAGAACCACTATAAGCATACATGATTACAAAATGCTAATATTTCCTTGTTAGTTTATTTACAAACTCAAAGTAGACTGGTCTACAATGGGCACATTTTAATATGTATTTAAAATATTGATAAAAACAATAGAAATACATCATTTGTATATTCTTATGAAATATTTCCGGGAAACAGAAAGTTTCTAGAGTTTTAAAGTGTTTTAGTATAAACATACATGTATATATGATGAATAATTATATATTGCTCTATAATTAATTTTATAATTTTTATTTTTAAGTTTGTTTTCATGTATTATACTGAATACCCTCAACATTATTTTTACGGTATTACAGATCTTCTATTATAACCTTTCACAAAAATGTTTTAGTCATTTTTAGTTATCAAAACAGCTGATAATAAAAAATGTTTTCAATTTGGTGCACCATCTACAGCTACTGAAAATTTTAAACATTCGTCACCAACAAGATTCATTGAATACAGGTAAATTCTTACCTTGTCATTTCACTGGATAAAGAAGAAGTTTTGCGCCAAATCCAAGATTTGACGGATATTATCATCCTTGATTAATTAAAATCCGGAATAGGGCTATCTCTCGGAAGCAATTATCGGAAGCAATTAATCAAAACAAAATTGCATGAAATTTCTAGCCTCGGTTTGATTGAGTCTGTAGATGAGGGGTAATAAAAAAAGTGCAACATCCCTTTAATAGTAATATCTCAATTTCATTCTAATACGAGTGTTGACCGTCTTTTGTCTAATTTAAGGGTTAATGATATTAAAATGGAAAGAAATACTCACTTCTAATCTAGTAGATACTTCATCCTCATCATTGCCATATCAAGTGATATTCTAAGAACTATGAACCCACTTACAAAAGAAGTGGAGAGGAAGATTTTGTTTTATTTCAGATCATTTAAACTCATTAAACGATTATTTATCGCATGTAAACGTTTCATACAAACCTGAACAAAAATTAGCATATCAAATTCATTAAACCAACAGGGTGTAAAAAAAAACACTTCCATTTTGTGTTTATTTTATTTTTTTGATTCGTGTTTGGCAATAAACACACAAAATGATTTTTCACTACTGAATGATCTATGTTCCCTATTACTTATTCCTTAATCAAAACATACAAAATTACATTTTAATAGACCTTCTATATAGACGAAATGTTATTGTATTTTTTCCTGAATAAATTTAATAAATTTCAGAAAACAGATAATGATAAAGAATCCAAAAATTAAAGATGCATGATTATTCATTTATTTTATTTTTATCATATTCATTAATACAAATATATAATGTATTTTTTATTTATTTTTGCATTTCACGTAAGCGTTTTCGCCTAACTTGTTTGTATAATTTACATCTTTTTGCAATAAGATTTTATGAAAACTTGCATGCATATTAAAGTTTGTTTTTATTTCATGTTGTGTTTTGTAAATTTATACATACTTGTGAATTTATACATTGTGTCAATTACAAAATTCTGCAAAAACACACATTTATACATTGATGATACGTTTTAGCTCACCTGTCACAAAGTGACAGGGTGAGCTTTTGTGATCGCTTTTCGTCCGGCGTCCGTCCGTCGTCCGTCCGTCCGTCTGTAAACTTTTACTTTAAATGACATCTCCTCATAAACCACTAAGCCAATTTCATCCAAACTTCACAGGAATGTTCCTTTGGTGGTCACCTTTAAAACATGTTCAAAGAATTTAATTCCATGCAGAACTCTTGTTGCCATGGCAACCGAAAGAAAAAACTTAAAAAATCTTCTTTTAAAAAACCCTTAGAGCTAGAGCTTAGATATTTGGCATGAAACATCTTCTAATAAGTGTCTACCAAGTTTGTTCAAATAAAAGCCCTGGGGTCAAAATTGGCCCCGCCCCTTTCCCTATATGCATATAGTAAAAACTTAAAAAATCTTCTTTTAAAGAACCCAAAGAGCTTGAGCTAAGATATTTAGCATGAAACATCTTCTAATAAGTGTCTACCAAGTTTGTTCAAATAAATGCCCTGTGGTCAAAATTGGCCTCGCCCCAGGGGGTCATTGATTTTCCCCATATGCATATAAATCTTCTTTAAAAGAACTCAAAGAGCTAGAGCTAAGATCTTTAGCATGAAACATATTCTTATGGGTGTCTACCAAGTTTGTTCAAATAAAAGCCCTGGGGTCAAAATTGGCCCCGCCCTGGGGGTCATTGATTTTCCTTATATGTGTATAGATAAAACTTAAAAAAAATTTTTGAAAACAAAAACAAATAGCTAGAGCTTAGATATTAAGCATGAAATATCTTCTAGTGAGTGTCTACCAAGTTTGTTCAAATAAAAACCCTGGGGTCAAAATTGGCCCGCCACAGGGGGTCTTTGATTTTCCCTATATGCATATAGTAAAAACTTACAAAATCTTCTTTTAAAGAACCCAAAGAGCTAGAGCTAAGATATTTAGCATGAAACATCTTCTAATGAGTGTCTACCAAGTTTGTTCAAATAAAAGCCCAAGGGTCAAAATTGGCCCCGCCCCAGGGGGTCATTGATTTTCCCTATAGGCATATAGTATAAACTTAAAAAATCTACTTTTAAAGAACTCAAAGAGCTAGAGCTAAGATCTTTAGCATGAAACATGTTCTAATGGGTGTCTACCAAGTTTGTTCAAATAAAAGCCCAAGGGTCAAAATTGGCCCCGCCCCGGGGGTCATTGATTTTCCTTATATGTGTATAGCAAAAACTTAAAAATCTTCTTTGAAAAAACCCAAATAGCTAGAGTTTAGATATTAAGCATGAAACATCTTCTAGTAAGTGTCTACAAAGTTTGTTAAAATAAAAGCCCTGGGGTCAAAACTGGCCCGCCCCAGGGGTGTCATTGATTTTAACTATAAGTGTATAGTAAAAACTTAAAAATCTTCTTTTAAAAAACCCAATGAGCTAGAGCTTAGATGTTTAGCATGAAACATCCTCTTATTGGTGTCTACCAAGTTTGTTCAAATAAAGCCCTTGGATTAAAATTGGCCCTGCGGGGGGGGGGGGGTAGAAGGGGGAGGTGGGGGGTAGATCGTTGTTTTTCATTATATGTGTGTAGTAAAAACTTAACATCGTGAAACATCTTCTAATGGGTGTCTTCCAAGTTTGTTCAAATAAAAGTCCTGGGGTTTAAACTGGCCCCGCTCCGGGGGCCTATATACAGGTGAGCGACCTCAGGGCCATCATGGCCCTCTTGTTACTATTTATAACTGTTTGAACAGATGTTTTATATGTAATTAATAATCCATATGAAAGTATGAAATGATGCTTTTATACATTTTTGTATAATCATGAAAGATTTTATGAAATGTTGTTCTTATATATAATTATGATCTTACAAATTATTGTTTTCCCTTAAAATATTTGTAAAATAAGTACATGAAATATAATTTTGCTAGTTTCATAATGCATTCTGTACTGAACAGATGACTATTTGAAACATGTATGATACAATATTATAAAAAAGATATGCTTCGCTCGATATATGTATGATTACACTTTCTTTCTTTTAGTTTAGTAAATATTATTTTCATTATAATTAGAACAATTGCATATTATACTTGTATATGTCGTAAATTTTATATATTCATGTATTATATGATTTATTAAAGGCTTTCAATATATGCCTTATATGCACATTGGGCTGGATGGATGCTATAATGAGGTTATTGTTTATACATCAAAACTGTCAAAACTGTATTGAATGAGGCACAAACCGAGTCAAATGCAGGTTTTATACTCGTAGCTGTGTACGATGGTTGTGCTTAACAATGTT